AGGGCAATTGTCTCAGACAATGGGAAGCAATTTGACAATCTCAGGTTTAAAGGCCGAGCTAGGCATAAAAAACTACTTCTCAGCACCAGCTCATTCTCAGTCGAATGGACAAGCAAAGGTAACTATTCGAACTATAAAAGCAGCTCTGAAGACCAAACTTGAGGCCTTAAAAGGATGATAGGTGGAGCATCTCCCAGAAGTATTATGGGTTTACAGAACTACAACCAAGTCGGTAACTTAAGAGACGCCCTTTGCCTTGACTTATAAGACTAAAGTAGTGGCTCCTATGGAAACAAGCATCTCATCTCCAGGAACAGAGCTCTCCAACCCCGAGTATAACGATGAGTCATTTTCGCTTAACCTAGATCTCTTAGATAAAAAGAGGGATAAAGCCTTGCGGCGCATCCTTGATTATTAGAGAAAGACAGCCATATATTATTATAGCCGAAGAGTTAGACATATGAGTTTCAAAGTAGGACATTTAGTTCTCAAGAAATTCCTCCCTGTAGGAAAGGGCCCCACTCATGAAAAACTAAGACCTAATTGGGAAGGTCTGTTCTCTGCACTTTCGAAGAAGAATTGGGAAGGTCTATTCTCTGCACTTTTGAAGAAGGCTTGTAATGATTCTTGTCAGAGGTTGTTGTTGATTTGTACTAGATGGGAGATTGTATCCACTTGTTGCTGGGTGCGTACACTATCATCTCCATTGGAGGCTTCACACATCGGTAACGAAAATTGACCTCCCGGTTCAGTCAACAGCTACTGCATCTTTTCCCTGCGAGCCAATTCTGTATTTTCTTTGAAGGAAAAATTCTCTTAATATAAAGTTGATGTTGAATGAGGCAAGGCTCTTAGTTTTGACCATATTCAGGAGGTTTTGCTTTAGATTTAATTGGAAAGAAATTCTGAGTATGGCCAATCCTTCCTTATTGCTAACAAAAATTTAATAGACGTTCATATTTGATTTCAATCCATATANCCACCATTGTGCAACAACCACCATCACCACCATTACTAATACTATTATGCCACCACCATTACTAATAGCATTATGTCACCGCCACAACCATCATTATGCCATCACTGTCACCACCAACATCGCTGCCACCGCCACTACCACCATCACGGCCACTACCATTGTGCCACCATCAACACCACCATCACAATCACCATCACTACCACCACCACCACCATTGTGCCACCGCCACCGCCACCACTGTCNATTATATCCAAAAGTTAACCCCAAATTTGAACCCAAAATTCTAATGAGTTGAACATTAAGTCTTGAATAGACGCTTCAAGGGGAGCTTGTCTTTAGAACTAGGAGGTTGCCTATTACTAACCATGGGCTTTTAGCTAGAATTTTGTCTCTATCCGTTTCTAATTTGAACATAAAAAAGAAAGTATTCTTCTCCCAATGGGTTATGGAAAAACCATTAATGCTATTCCATGCATTTNAATGACAAAATTAGAATAATAATAATTTTCAGACTTTAGCTCCTTATATTTGTCAAACAGTTTGATTCAATTCAATACTTAAATTTCAATTGATATTAAACAGTTTGCGAATTAAAAAATTCAGCATTCAATACTTAAAATTTAGCATTTAGTTTTCAATTTTATCAAATACCACCTACCTAGTGGTAGGAATAAATAAACAACAGTAAATTTCATGCTCGTTACTAGTTGTCTATCATTTATGGAAAGCACCCACAGATGACAATAAGACAATTGGCCAATATTGAGCCTTTTAGAGGATGGCTGGAAGCACTATTTTGTAGAATTGCATGACATCAAGTTGTGCCTCTTTGAGGTTAATAAGGTTATCCAATGTTTTTGAAAAATACTATGATAGAATGAAATATGCTAGCATGCGGCTTCACTGTGGTAGCTTGGTCTATAAAAAGGTATCTTTATATCATTCCAAATTTAAGTTGTTGACTGATCCTCCATCTACTCTTTATGGTCCTACTTTGGCTCTTTGCTGTGCAAATGTGATTTGTTACCGAAAAGTTTCATAAACTCCCTAAGGGCAAAGCTGAAGGGAATTCATGGCTTCATCTGTTTATGATGTTGTGCTTGGAATAAAGTGAAGTTTGGCACTAGTAAGCATAGTACCTAATAAATTCAGGACATGTCCACACTATGTAAGGACAAGTGATAGGAGTTATCAGTTGACATGACAATGGCGCCCGAAAGGATCCATCAAGATTGGTACGGACAACAGTGCAACAACATTATTCCAGTGTCATGACATACATTTAGTGGCGTGACAGCACCATAGTCTACGACAATGTTCCAATGCCATAGGAAACCTCAACCACTACAAAAGTGGCAAAATGGACCCTCGACCAAGGACAGACAAAAGTGGCACCAAGGAAGTCTGGAGGTAACCTCAACTTGACTCGCTTCTCCCGCTGCGAAAACAAGGCACAAAGTTAGGAGTTCACAGCTAATGGAATTGGTATCCTCAACCTATAGGACACCAATGCTTAACTAACGCACTGAACTAGGAGGAGGGGTCTCCACCTAAAGACAGGATAGTATGGCTCTCCTCAAGGGAGAATTGAGCAATGAGGATAGATGAGTAAGATTGTTAGCCTAGACCTCGGACAGGGCCTCAAAGGTTTAGTTTGATTGAGTAGACCTCCTAGTGTGTGGCTCACCGACTATTGGGATGTGCTTGAATGGGATTTGAAGGGAATCCTAAGGTACCTAGGGTCATTGGTCCAGATCAACATAAATGGCAGGAAATCTGCTACATTAGGCTTCCCCGCCCATTCCATGACCTTGTTCATGGCGTCAAAGAACCGNGTTGCATCTAGACTTGTAAGTCTAAGGAGAATTCAAGTCAGTGTTGATTTAAGAGGGGGTGAAATTTCTTGTGTTCCCTCAGAAGGTTCTGTGGCAGCTTTAGGAGGGGAAATCTGTAGAGTTGTCTCCTTGGATTAGAATATTTGAGTATACTACCCATAAGCAAACTTATGTTGATCCACTGAAAGTAACCTATCTAAGTTTTATTCAGCTTCTCTAAGTAGGACAGTCTAAAGTTTGGAACAAAGGGGTTGTTTGATAACCCCACTTAAATTTTAAAACTGAATACGTTAAACACTTAATAAATTAAACCCGTTTGATAACCTAAAACTCATACTACTTAATATTTTAAGCACTTCTTAAAAATAGGCTAAAATTTTAAGTAGCAAGCCACCAATTTATCACTTAATGCTAAAAATGCTTGTTAGTAAGGATTTTATCAATTTCTCATAATAGACAAATATATCCTCAATCCATCTTACACTCTTAACTTTTTCAATACCCACCATCCATCACAACCACCACCATTGTATTGTTGTCACCACTATCTCCACTGACTCCTTGTGTCGCCGCCACCACCATTGCCACCATTTTGCCGCAATCATCACCACTATCACCAACACTAGCACCACCACCACCATTGTGCAACAACCACCATCACCACCATTACTAATACTATTATGCCACCACCATTACTAATAGCATTATGTCACCGCCACAACCATCATTATGCCATCACTGTCACCACCAACATCGCTGCCACCGCCACTACCACCATCACGGCCACTACCATTGTGCCACCATCAACACCACCATCACAATCACCATCACTACCACCACCACCACCATTGTGCCACCGCCACCGCCACCACTGTCACCACTACCACCACTATTGTGTTGTTGCCACCACTACCACTACTACTATTGTGATGGTGGTGGTAGAAATAAGGTAGTTGCAATGTGATAGTTAAAGAGAATGACAAAATTAGAATAATAATAATTTTCAGACTTTAGCTCCTTATATTTGTCAAACAGTTTGATTCAATTCAATACTTAAATTTCAATTGATATTAAACAGTTTGCGAATTAAAAAATTCAGCATTCAATACTTAAAATTTAGCATTTAGTTTTCAATTTTATCAAATACCACCTACCTAGTGGTAGGAATAAATAAACAACAGTAAATTTCATGCTCGTTACTAGTTGTCTATCATTTATGGAAAGCACCCACAGATGACAATAAGACAATTGGCCAATATTGAGCCTTTTAGAGGATGGCTGGAAGCACTATTTTGTAGAATTGCATGACATCAAGTTGTGCCTCTTTGAGGTTAATAAGGTTATCCAATGTTTTGGAAAAATACTATGATAGAATGAAATATGCTAGCATGCGGCTTCACTGTGGTAGCTTGGTCTATAAAAAGGTATCTTTATATCATTCCAAATTTAAGTTGTTGACTGATCCTCCATCTACTCTTTATGGTCCTACTTTGGCTCTTTGCTGTGCAAATGTGATTTGTTACCGACAAGTTTCATAAACTCCCTAAGGGCAAAGCTGAAGGGAATTCATGGCTTCATCTGTTTATGATGTTGTGCTTGGAATAAAGTGAAGTTTGGCACTAGTAAGCATAGTACCTAATAAATTCAGGACATGTCCACACTATGTAAGGACAAGTGATAGGAGTTATCAGTTGACATGACAATGGCGCCCGAAAGGATCCATCAAGATTGGTACGGACAACAGTGCAACAACATTATTCCAGTGTCATGACATACATTTAGTGGCGTGACAGCACCATAGTCTACAACAATGTTCCAATGCCATAGGAAACCTCAACCACTACAAAAGTGGCAAAATGGACCCTCGACCAAGGACAGACAAAAGTGGCACCAAGGAAGTCTGGAGGTAACCTCAACTTGACTCGCTTCTCCCGCTGCGAAAACAAGGCACAAAGTTAGGAGTTCACAGCTAATGGAATTGGTATCCTCAACCTATAGGACACCAATGCTTAACTAACGCACTGAACTAGGAGGAGGGGTCTCCACCTAAAGACAGGATAGTATGGCTCTCCTCAAGGGAGAATTGAGCAATGAGGATAGATGAGTAAGATTGTTAGCCTAGACCTCGGACAGGGCCTCAAAGGTTTAGTTTGATTGAGTAGACCTCCTAGTGTGTGGCTCACCGACTATTGGGATGTGCTTGAATGGGATTTGAAGGGAATCCTAAGGTACCTAGGGTCATTGGTCCAGATCAACATAAATGGCAGGAAATCTGCTACATTAGGCTTCCCCGCCCATTCCATGACCTTGTTCATGGCGTCAAAGAACCGCTGCCCTTCGTCGGACTGTCTATCCAGAATATCTCTGGACAGCATGAGGTTGCCAACCACGTTGAAAGCCATGATAAACAGGAACCTCACCTGTTGCACTTCACCTGTTCCTCCCTGTGCACGCGACGCTGCTGAATCCTCCTCGATCCATATTATCATATTGTCAATGCACTTTTGCCTAAGTGAAGCCGACTCATTGATTCGTTTATTGTTTTGAAGCTCCATGGAGCAGACCCGACGCAGCATGCGCCAGTTGGGACCATAATTTCCAAAAGCCAATGATCCCTGGTTGTAGCACAAGGCAGTTAGTGCATCTGGAACTTTGCGGTCCGCGAAAGGAAGATCATGTTTCTTGAACAGTTCAGCAGCAGCCTTTGCAGACTGTATGACCATGGTGTTCGTTGAACCAAGCTTTAGCCAAAGAACCGATCCATATTTGGTTCTAAGTTGGTGAAAATTTTGGTGAGGCATTGTTCCAAGATCAAACATATTGCCCACAATCGGCCATCCTGGTGGCCCCGGTGGTCTCTTTTTACTGGAGTCATTGCCGCCCTTTGTTGGGCTGAACAGATGAAGAAGAAGAAGAAGAAGAGCAGCTGAAAAAGAAGAAACCAGCCAGATTAGCTAACTACATGCCCACTCCATTCCAGGTTTGATCTCACTTCTTAGTTCCACCTATTCGTTGAGTGCTAACATGTTACTGACATATATATCTCCCAACTAATGTTATGCTGACTAAATTTTAAAATTAAATTTAGAGTTCAAATGATATGGCGATATATTATTTAGAGTCTTTATTGAAGCTCAATTGACATAACACCAAATAAAGAAACTCAAGTTAACTACATGTCATTTAGGCTCCAAATTTGATCCCAAAATTTGGTCAGTGTTACATTACTGATATCTCACAGGAAAGGCTTCGATACCGTATTGGGAACCATACCAAAATTTATCACCATTTATAGTTAAATTATAATTTTTTTTTGAAGTGTAAGTTACAATTTTTAAAAGTAATGATCGATCATAATAAATTGAGATTAATAACAAAGTTACAACTTTTAAAAGTAAAGTACAACTCACAAGGGAGAAGTTAGAAATGTTCAGGGGAAGTCCATGATCGATCATTGTGTGTGTGTGTGATCGATCATAGTCCCTTTGATCGATTATAGACTTCATTTGAACAATTATAACTTCTCTCTTTTGAATTAAAACTTTACCATAAAAATAATAAGTGGCGGTAGGGTATCGTAGACTTTCCCATATCTCACTTACCAACTCCAATCATTTACGTGATGCATTCACAAACAATTGAATTAAAACACTGCCTACGCTAATTTTGTATCATGCTTATGAAGATATTTTATAAGTCTTTTTGATATCAAAGGGGCTACATTGGTAAAGTTTATAAGTCCCGTTGGTTGTGAAACAATTTTTTGGTTTTTTCACAATAAAAAAAAAAGAAAAAAAATCAATTCTACAAAAATTACAAATTTTATGAGTCATGTTATAACTTTTAAGATTGAAGTTATAATTTTTTGAGATGAAATTATAATTTGTGAGATACTTGAAATCGATCATAAATTTTATAATCGATTATTTTAATTCAAGGTCAACTAAAATCCCAAAAGAATAGCCTCTCCCATTTATCTATACAAAAAAATATTTTGACTTCGTTAAGAAAAAAAAGTAAATATGATCCAAATTGACTCGCAGTGGCGTATCCCCTTATTCGGATGTCTATTAAAATTTGTTTAGTGACATCTTTTATCTTTGACAGACTTTCAGCTGGCCCATATGTCAGCCTAATAAGATTGGCGTTTCCTATCAAAAGGATAAGAAATTATGGAGTGATCCCACTTCCGAAAAAAAATATGCCCTACATGTTTTCAAAATTGCAGTGGGGGCCAGCTGGGAAGTGTATAATTATCTTATCCAATAATCAAGATATGATTATTATTGAATGTGATAACACGATGTGTGATTTGGTGTATTAGTATGTGTATTTATTTGAATTTATTACTATTATAGTCGATATAGAAATATGAGTCCGATATCCCTTTCATAATCTGTTTTGGCCCGATTAATTAAATTAAGTGATATTAACCAACACATTTACAATATGCACTAATGAAGTAGGTATCCAGCCACTCCTACGTGTGATTATCATATTATGTCAAGAGTTTTGATTATTTTACGGATTAAAGGGTTTAATTCAACCCGTTATATTCTAACCCGTTATAACTCATTTATGAAGAGGATGAAAAATGAATTGGACATATATTCCACCAAACCAGTTATGAACCTACCCGTTTACCACCTCTACTTTGAACCCTACCTCCATTCTGTTAAGGGGCCCTGCTTTCTGATATGAAACCTGATAGCGAAAGAATGCGGACGGTGAATCTTTTGTCTAGATACACCACATATTGTTCACATAATATAGATATAGATGTATGGTGAAGGATAGCATTACATGTAACAAAAAATGACAGAACATTGTGATGAAAGCCATTGGAGTTTTCTTAACCCAAAAAATTGTGGCCTCTTTGTGTTTATTTTGGAGAAATTGCTGCTCTTCTCTTATGGAATATCTAGTTAGTTACCTATTAAAATCAACTATACATTCTAGGGTGATGTTGAGGCAGTTATAAAGTTACTTCATGTTGTTCTTGGCACAACAGGTTTAAAACATATGAAGAACCTCTCTGGTTTAGGGTAAGACTATATATACTTGACATCTGACCATGCATGGACCGGAGACTTGACAGTTGCGTTTCTTTTTTTTTCTTTTTTTTTTTAATTTCTGATATACAACAATGATGAAGATGAAGATTTTAACTGGGATTGCTCAAGTCATCGCAGGTGGTACTTTACAACGTAGCCGAAATAAGTAATATACATCTAATCGAGGTCTAAGAATGAGCTTTAGTAGATATATGTGGCATGATTCATGCACTCTTTGTTCCTTTCCGAAATTACATCATACTTCCTTTTGCTATACAAGAAATCATATTTGCCAAATATCTTAGCAAGTTAAAAGAAATTGGATAACGTTTATTCATTAAATATTTACAGCTTGCTTCATTTTGTAATCCTTTGCGTTAAACAAATGAAATCTATACGTACGAGTTTTAATTAAACATTACAACATAATTGCCAAGTTTCATGTGGGTGTTTGTTTATTCAATTTGCAATTTTATTTTCTTGTTGAGATTTTTTTCATTAGAAATTTAGAACGTATAGATATTAAAATAAACCTCAAAACAAGGGTCGTGGGAATTGAAAACCCATATTAATTCCAAATTAAGTGGTTGATTTCAAGCGACTCTTTAGTGTCATATTTGAAATGGGTCTGAAATTTTATGGTTTTAATTCAATAGTTTATGGCTGTGGGAGGTGGGAGAGAAGGAGGGTGGCAACCGGGGCGGGGATAGTAGTCTCCATCATCGTATCGGTTTTAAAAATATTTATCCACTCTCAGTCTATCTCTTTAGCGGAGAAAATTTTAATTCTCGTCCCAATACATAATAATTAATTTCTATGATTTAACAAAAAAAACTCATAAAACCTCACTAATAAAAAAAACCCTGTTATATAACAAATGGATAAAAAAAAAAAAAAAAAAAGTGAAGTGTGTTTTTTTGTAAAGAGAAAAGTGTGTGGGTCGGTGGGGTTTGTGATATATATATATATATAAAAAACCTCAGTAATGGAAGAAACCCTGTTATATAACAAATGGATCGGGAAAAAAAGGGAGAGAAAGTGAAGTGTGTTTTTTTATAAAGAGAAGAATGTGTGAGTGGGTGGGGTTTGTGATATATATATATAAAAGTGGGTAGGTAGAGTTTGTGTCTTTGTGATATTATATATATGTATTATATATATAGAAATATAACAAATATCATGGATTTAGATGTAGCAAGGGAGGGCGGGGCGAGAATGAGTTTCAATCCATCTCTGTTTCCATCCTCGTTTGGTTTATATGGATATTCCCGTATATGTCTATCATTTAATACGTATAATCCATTCCCGATCTAAATAGGACAAATTTGAATGAATACTTGTTTTTTCCCGATCCATTACTATTCCTAAAGAGAAGTATGGACTGCGAGGACAAAATAAGGGTTGTGAGAGGTAGGTGTTGTTGTTACTTGTTGGTTTGCTCCTCGTGAGTGAAGCTTACGTCTTAAGTTGTGACACCCCAATCCGGGGGTCCGTTGATTACCCATCAATCAACGGAATACCCGTGGATATCGAATAACTCGATATCACACCGTCATACCCGATTTACCGAGATCCTTAATTTAACAAAATTCAGGCAGAATCTCCTTTGTACGGGGAGCTCTATCCAAAACACAACCTGTGCAATATATATTAACATGACCCGTCCAAGGCCCCATATAACACAATGACCACACAGGGTCTATTTATAAATAAAACTTGACCACACCGGGTTCAATTATAATTAAATATTGGCCACACCGGATCTAATCATCCATATTTATATCAAAACATGCAAGGTTAGTTTAACAATAGTCCATATAAGTTCTATTACAATTTAAAAGATTACATGCATAAAACATTCTTTCCACAAATATTTTACATTAACACAAAATAAAAGCCACATTTGACAATCTTCAAACATGAGGGTCCAAATTGAAGTCATCCACCGGTGTACCTCTCCCACCTGAAATGTTTTCCATATAAGGTGAGCCAACGCTCAGTAAAAAAACTCCTACAGATGCTACTCCCTACCTAAAATGCGTATGCAATGCGCACACGNCCCACACCTGAAATGTTTCCCGTATAGGGTGAGCCAATGCCCAGTAGAATAATCCCTACAGAGGCTACTCATCACCTAAAATGCATATGCAATGTATAAATGCAACATTTCACAACAAGTATTCCCTCCAACAATAACATATAATACAATGTTGGAAAATCATGATGCCATGCCAAGTAATGAGATGAAACTCACTCATGCATGCTATCCCGAGCCCACACCGACTCCCACAACACAATGCACTCATATGTGTAAAACAAACGTCTTTGATGAAACACATCCAAAGATCATTTTGAAATTAACCATATGTCATAAAACCAATTCATTCTTGGATGTTTCCCATCAAATGAATAATTTATATATTAAAATCATGTGCCTTTATGGGGTATCGGATTCAGGAATTGCATCTCCGGCTCCATACGCCGTTACACTTTTCTGAAATTTCACCGCCGGTAAGTGTATGAATCAAGTGGCCGGGTTTTTCACCCGAGAGAGTATCTAGCCCTACTTGTTATACCCGACACAAGTTTTCTTATGCATGTAACCGTGCAACTCCGTAGGACGTTCCATCCCACTTTTCCGAGCCCACCATCAAGCACCAATGTTGGTGTTGATCACCTCATGCAACCCTACACTCGTACTCATGCATGTAGCCCATGAATATGATGTCAATTCCATGTCCATATTGTAATGCATGTCAAATGAACAATTTTTACATATCAATGTATAATATGACAATTTATATCATTTGCATATAATCACCATAACCATTTCAAGTTCAATATATCCAAGAGCATATATCAACACTTCATCAACATGATAACACATAATACATACTAATATCACATTTCATTCACAAGACATAATATAAAACACAAAGCATGCCCACATGATCCCAATTTTCAAGGGATTACATAAATACTTCCATATACCAAAATTAAGCCAAGATTTTATATGGACCATTTCAAACAAAATAAAAATCAGAATATATGATTTTTACATAACCAATTATCGAAACATTCTAGAAATCACAAACTAGCACTTTCTAACTACCAATTTACACTAAAATTGATCCTACTCATTTCCATAACACCAACCATAATGAAAAAATATTAGAAATACCCAAAACAGCTCACATTAACCCTATGGACACCTTAGATTAGAAATAGGTTCGAGTAGGAGGAACCCAACCTCTTAAAGCGTAAAGATTTCGTAGGAAGCCTCAAGAACAAGATTCAAGCCCAAAGCTTAGATTTCTCCAAAATTCTCCCTTTGGATCTTCGGTGAAAATCTTTTTTTTTGGTACCCACGCGTAGCCCTCGTCGCGTAGATCAACTTTAATTCTTAACCCGACGAATTCCAACAGACGAAACTCCGAGAATCGGCGGAAGAAAGTTTGAAGAATTATTTTTTTTTTCCTTTTTGCTCTTGGGTCTGGTCCAGCCGGCCAAATGAAAGAAAAATATCTGATTTTTTAGATATTTGATATATTTATACTTTTTAAAGACTTGGCCCTCGTCGCGCCAAGTGTCCTCTTTTGTCCGGGCTCGTTTTCGCCCCGGAACGATTAAATTTCGTACCGATTTAAGCTAAAAATATTTTATATGAACTTTCTTTAAAATATTTTTCAAATTTCAAAATTTTTATAAAAATTTCGTTTTTGGGGGTCACTGAATGTCCGTCACCTCAAAAAACGTAAAAAAACTCGACTATATTAAAATTTGACGAAAATTGACAAGGTAACTAGATTTTGCGAGACGAATCCAACGGTGAGGTCCGTTTCATCATCCGAGGTCTAGAAAATATTAGTTTTTAACCCGCACTATAATGACAAATTATCATTTTACCCTTTTTTCAAAAAAAAGTTCAAATTTTTCCCGAGTTTCACATTCTTCCCCCCTTAAAAGAATTTCGTCCCAGAAATTTACATACACATTCACATACAATCACATACATATGCAACAGTCAAATAAAACTAAATGACCATAAGAATGTACCTCCATCCTCGAACAAAAAAGGGTAATTGGTACGGATAGTGTCCTCGCACTCCCATGTCATCTCCTTCACTCCTCAGTGCTGCCACAACACCTTCACTAGCCGCACGTTCTTGCCTTGTAAAACCTGTTACCGGCTATCTATGATGTGCACCGGTCCCTCCTCGAAGGTCCCATCAGCATCAATAACAAGCTCTCCCCAATCCACCACATGAGTCGGATCCGGGGTGTATTTCCGGAGTATAAAGACATGAAAAAACGCATGGACTCTCGATAAATTTGGCGATAACGCCAACCGGTAAGCCACTACACCCACCCTCTCGAGTACCTCGAAGGGTCCGATATACCTCGGTGACAGCTTTTCCCGCTTACCAAACCTAACCACTCCTCTCCTAGGCATCACCTTCAAGAAGACATGATCTCCCACCTCAAACTCCAAAGGTCGCTGCTGTCTGTCGGCGTAGCACTTCTGTCGACTCTGAGCTGTGAGAAGACGCTTCTGTATCAAGTCCACCTTCTTAGAGGTGTCCCTGACCAAATTCGGACCCAGAGATGATCTCTCTCCCACATTCGTCCAACAAACCAGAAAACGTCATG